CCGTCCATCATCGAGTGATCCATGTCATTGTTGAAAATTTCCTCATTAATAGGATGCCCGGGAGCCTCTGAAAAAATCGTTCAAAAATTATCTCAATTTATTTTTATTGACAGTGTGAGGACATGAAAAGGGATACAACCTAGAGAGTCGAATCTGAAAATACGCTGGGGATTTACAGAGGAGAAATTTACATTACAACATAGATTTTTCAGGAAAAAAATAGATCAACATACCATTTAATTTTTCTTTTTTATCTCAATAACCAAATAATCTTGTGCTTACGTGATGTATTATGAATCAATTTTTGTCAGATTATATTACCGTTTACAGTAGAAAACAATGGGCCTGTTGCAAACTTTTGCTAAAGAAAAACTAAGATTTGTTTCTTATAGATAATGCTTCAAAAATCAAGATGAGCGCATTGGCGAAGTCTGAAATGCACTTATAACTTCAAAATCTGCGTAAAAAATTTGCGGTTTTTTGAGCTTCTCGCTTCAAAAACGATACTACGGCACAGGTGAACATTTAGATAGATGAGTCGTTCCATCATCGGCAATATTCATCATGGCCGACGCCAATTCGCCAAAACACGTGTGATGAGACGAGATAACACCTGAACAGGATTAGACCAGATAACAATCGGCGTGTTTACGTTCATATTTTCTTCGCCCCCCTAGATTGACCCTGAACGCTTCTCGAATCACGCGCAGAACTGCGGAAGCGTCGGCCATGATGAATACTGCCGACGATGGAACGACTCCTCTAACAAAATGTTCAACTGTGCCTTAGTATCGTTTTTGCAGCGGGAAGCTCAAAAAACCGCAAATTTCTTACGCAGACTGTGAAGTTATGAGTGCACTTCAGACTTTGCCGATGCGCTCATCGTGATTTTTGAGGCATTATCTATAGGAAACAACTCTTATTTTTGCTCTGGCAAAAGTTGGCAACAGGCCCATTGGCAACCTTCACTGATGTTTTTACAAAAATCAGGGTAACTTATGATTAGATTAAGATGGGAATGTTTAATAGATTGGTATATTTGGTCAAGTTTATATCAAACGATATATCAATGATGGATAGACAAAGAGCAATATCTTCCCTTTTATCCCGGTTAATGAATATACATCCCGTTTTAAACAATCGTGTACGATCCTTTTACATACCTGTGTAACTCGGGGTGGAATGCATCTCTAGGGAAAATACCGCTTATCTCGCGTCACCAACCCCCAAGGCACAGTGGGAAAAACAGCCGATCTAGCGCCGAAAAAGTTTTGACGCTTGGATCGTTCACTTTCCCATTGGTTTTTCACACTTTACCCGTCTCATATATCAAGCCATACACTAATGACAACATTATGCGCCAATTTTTTGTAAATTCAAGAGTTATTGAGCCAAATTTAGTCAAGAGATCAGCTGTAATTTACTTCCCTTGAAACTGTGTTTCGGTTTGAGGTCTTTGATGGGCCAGCAGAGTTAATAAAAATATTTCTCGTCGTTTATGCTATTGTCGGTTACTCTCTTCATTTTACTATGTAAGTCTCTGATTTTTCACTTTATTTTGGAAAAGTTTGTGTGATTATGTGTGAGTGTTTCAAGGTAAAGTTATGGGTTAGAATGAATGGAATCCGCAAGGTATTACCAAAGATGTTAATGGACGAAATTGACATATTAATTGGCATGTACTCAATATTAAGAGCAAATAAGGAGGAAATACACGCTTGAAATTTTAAATTTCCTAATAAAACGTTGCACAATGGAACAGCTTTTACTAATCAATAGATAATAACGTGTTCTAATTTTTTTCTAATTCCTGTTAGGATAACAGTTAAGTTCCAAACATTTAATTTATCATTAAGTGTTGTCAAACAGGAAATTTTATAGTAGAAATCCGTATTATTGTTTTATCAATACACTTTATTTTCATGAAGGTAAAATGAAGTATTGTCATTACTTGGAAATTTTGGAAATTAATTCCTTTCGTTCAATGCATCTAATGTTTTTCTTCTCAAGACTTAATGTCAAATGAAAACATTTTTAAAGGGCAGCAATTGTGAAGTAAAACATTAATAGTTGCACAGAAGTACTTAAAAATTTGGCGATCTCAGGTAGGAATAGAACCCTCCTCCCACTCATCTGCAGAGAGAGACTTTACCAACTAAGCTATGGCTTCAGAATGAATCATGTGCTGAAACAGTTGCTCTTAAACACAGGTTGCCTGAGTTGCGCGCGCAGCGCACTGCGCACGCACTTCTCCCCATGCGACTCTATAATCTGACGCCAAACTCAACGGTACACATTCATTCTGAGCACATTTTCACTTCCTTTTCATTAAATATCTCCTAATGGCGCAAGGATGCGCACCCAAACTAAGGATTATCGTATTCTGGAGAGTATGACGAGTAACTGGATATAAATATCTCGGTGGATCCGAGTGGATCTCGAAAGATACAGTTCATGGAAGTTTGAATTTGGTACTATTTTGGAGGCTAACTTTAAAAAATTGCTGTAAGTTAAAAAAATAGATTTAAGAAAAAAAAAATTGTTTCCATACTTTTAGAAGGGTCAGCCATTGCCAAAAACAATTAAAAGTAACTACTTGACGCTTCTTAATAAACACAGGAAGCCATTGAATGTAAGCATTCAGAGGCAGTCTTCCATCAGCACCGCGCTATCCGGTGCGTTTCTGATGATAATCGCTGATAAGGTCGACCTTATGAAGTAAAACATGACTGATTCTTGATCAGTAGATCCTCAGGAACACGTACATACCAATTTTGGCCATTTTCATTGATGCCGATTTTCCGACTTTTTCGGCGCTAGATCGGCTGTTTTTCCCACTGTGCAAGGATCCCTCATGCCAAAAATGGGAACATCCCGATCAAACGATCCAGAGATCAGTGAGTGGAGTGGCGCTTTTATTAATATAGATAGAAGATCGATAAGTCGAAGATCGATAGATCAAAAATCAATAGATTGAAAATCAATGAGTCGAAGATCCATAGGTCCAAGATCCTTCCCGAGCTACCTCCTTTACGATCTCTTTACGTACTTGTGTAACTTGGGGAGGAATGCATCTCTGGGGAAAATGCCACTTATCTCGTGTCACCAACCCCCAAGGAGCCCTCATGCTAAAAATGGGAACATCCCGATCAAACGATCCAGAGATACAGAGATCAGTCAGTGGAGTGGCGCTTTTATTAATATAGATAACAGAGTGAAAATGCAGAAAAAATGCTTTAAAAAAACTTCATACTTAGTCCTGAACATTATTTGTGGAGGCACTCAATGCATTATTTATACTTGTGTTCAATGCATCATACAACATTTTTTTTTTTTTTTTTTTGAGAAATCTTGTGAGTTCACCAGTTGCAAAAATGAACTTTACATGACAGCGCGCTACTGTAGACGGACATGATTGCAGCCAAACTCTAAACTTTGATACAATCATTTACCGAAAAAGTAAAATGCACCGTGTTTAATTCTTGAGAAAACTAAATGAGAGGCAAATCACTCATCTTCAATGACTGAACATCTACTGTAAAATGTTTTATTTCAAGCCAATAGTTCAAGAGCAAAATTACACAATAAAATCAGCTGTGTAAAAAACAACTTGACTCTTTAACCTAAACATTTCTTTACAACTCTAAAAGAATTTATTAATTTTCATTTTTTTATCAGCTCAAAAGAGTTTTCAAGTTCTCAACTTAGGTCGAACTCCAAAGAGTTGATGATTTCAAGATTTGACATTAAAATAGGTGCGTGGAACAGTTATTAAGAAAGAGGAGATATGTAGATTGTTTTTATAATGATTGATTCGACAGTTCAAGGGATACAAATGTATTTTGTACCTGTAAAACTTTGTTCGATGATTCTTTCAGGAAACACAAACCGATCTTCAGGTTCATAATCTTCTTGAAGGTAACCGCTTTCCGTAATGGGCCAAAATAATCTGGGGAAAAAAGAGGTGGAGTATAATAAAATGAACTAGGTAATCGACCCTAAGGACAAACAATTGCGGATTGCTTAGGGTAATTTTAATGTGTCTGACTTGAACGATAAATTGAGACAATATTTGGAAAAATATTTGGAGCTGAAAGGTGAAAACTTATGAATGTGATTTTCTTTAAAATCGCCAAAGTCTTTCAATGAACAGAATAATCTGGGAAAATTACTTTTTTTAAAAAATAAATTAAATGAGCTGGAGAAGAGCAGAAGATTTGTTAACATAGTTTAGGTGTCAATAAAAACATCGATAAACTCTCATAAAATTGTAGATTAAAAATCGAGGCTGAATGATTTTGTGGAAAGGGGTCTCATAACTGCTTCATTTGCCTGACCTTTTTGACTTTTTCCTGACTTCAGAATTTTGTGATTCCCTGCTTTTCCCTGATCTTTGGACGAAACTACATCTTAGATTTTTTTCCTTAGAATTACGCTGACTGATGGTAAGTTTTGCATGAAATTTCCACTTACATTTAAATTTTAGAAAAAGGCACTTGAAAGTTGTCCCTGCTCTCTAAAAATAATGCCTTCTGCAGTTGCTGAGCTAATACCCTACTTGCCAAAGTCTTGGACTTTTCAGGTATTCTTGAACGCCGAAAACCCTGGAGATTCATTAAAAAATGTGTAATAAAAGAAGTATTTGGATGAAGTTTGACAATTTCCTGTGGATTTATCAGAAGATCAATGTTTTGTGAGACTTTAAAACATTTCGAAATAAAATTACATTTTGGATTTTCCTGATTTTTTACCTGAATGAATCAATAATTGTCTAATTATAAAAACCAACATATGTAATGAACTGAATAAAATGTTTCACTTTTCCATGTGCTAAACTGCAAGTAGTTGAAGAATGCTTGACACACTCGGAATTATCTGATTCATGACCGATTTTCGTAATTTTTCCTGATATTTTTACTAACAGTGGCTGCTCTGAAATAGAAGACACATTTACTATTAATAATACAAGTTGGTATTGGAGGAAAAACATTAGTTTATACCTGAATTCATCCATTTTCCAGACTGCTTCTCTTTCAGGTGTGAAAATATCTCTCGATTTATTAACCACTTTTGGTTCGCAAGGAGGTGGGAGGGACAAGTTTATCTGATTGCTTTGCTAGTTTATCCTCTTTCTTGTCTAGTTTCATATCAATATTTTTATCTGAAAAATAAAAAACAAGGCAAATTGATTAGGATCGAAAGTTCCATTGATAGAAAAGACTTATTGATCGAAAGAAGATTCAACTGATTGATCAAAAGAGGAGTTGAATGGTCCATAGACAAATGATTTGCCTTGTCAATGGAGAGACTTCTAGTCAATGAAACAGATGATCCAACTTATTGATTGACAGAGAATTTGATTGGTTGCTCAACAAACAATGTGACTAGTTAATCCAACAGGTCAATGAATAGACAGTTTGACTGATAGAATGATAAAAAATTCAATCAGTTAATTGACAGGAAAGGACACTACAAAATTGTTCCCACTCTCTTGAGTGGCACTAGCTGAAGTTACTGAGCAGATGCGTTATTCGCAATATTCCGATACTTTTAAGGAGTTCCTTAAATTCCTGACTTTCCTGGATGACTGTATATTCTCTGACTTTCCAGATTTTCTAGACTTTAGAAAACTAAGCAAGGGCTAAAAAGAGAGAAAAATAGGGGTCATCACTCCGGCAAGTTGCTCCTCAACCCAAGATTTGCCTTGTTTGTTGCGATTCACAGAGAAGGTATTTTTAGCACCCTCACTTTATGTAACCCTGAAGACAGAGGCTAGAATTTGTGTTACACCTTGAAATTTTCTTTGTTAAAGATCTTAAGTCATGGGAGTTTCAAGAAGTATTTCCAAATTTTGGTTAAAGGATTACATGTCCTACAATCTCACACTCACCAGTATTGAGAAAAGGAGGGAGTTGAAATTCTTCAACATTAAACGATCTCTTTTTCTTCTTCTTCTTAGCTTTATCTTTTTGCTTAGCACCTTCTTCGCCAGTTCCAAAATCACAATCTTCATTGTCTTCATCATCGTTATTTTTTTTCTGGCTGAAAAGAATAAATAAGAGGTTACCAAGTATCCTCGACAAATGTAACAAAAAATGACTAGGAATTTACTAAATTCTCAGAGAAAACTGTGTTTTTAATTTAACCCTTTCGATAGAACCATTGCATCAACCTATCCACCTGTTTGTGCATTGCGCTCTCTCTTTAATGGAACAATTTAATGGAATCCATGACCCCTCAAGAGTTGGTGCCAAGTTTTAGACTTCTTGCATAATTTTCTATTAAGATATGAATAAGAAAACATGTTATACCTAAAAAAAAGCGGACGTCAGAATTCGCTGTTCACCTTAACCAAGCTCATTGATCTCCTTGATGATAGTGTAAATAAGCACATTAAAGTACCTAGTAGTAAACATAAATAAGACTGTTGAATATGGGTATCTGTAGGATGGCACCCTCTCCCATTTTCTCCCTACTTTAGAAGATCAATAATATAATTTGACTCTTGTGTCTAATTTGAAAGTTAGCAAACACTTAGTTCCATAGAAAAATCATTAAAAGATTCAACAGTTATCATACGTTGATTCATTTAAAGCACTTTCCCTTTTTTACATTAAATAAGTAGTTAATTTTATGTCTTAGAATAGTTTTACGTAAGAACAGGAGATGTGGTCATTTTTTTAAAATCACTGCATCTCAATTGAGGGCTTTGGATGACAAGTGGGCTAAGAGCAATTTTTGCTATTTCAAGGGTAGGTTTTGAAAAGTTCAAAGTAGGATGGAGCCTTGTTGCAGAGAGAAAGTTCAAACTCAGTTTTTGATGGTTAAAAATTGGATTTTGGTAGTGGCTTTTTCACAGAATATATTCTAGGACTAGTTTTAGTTTAAATCATTAATATCTAAAAATTGTCAAAAGCTGCACTCATCCTCCTTGTCTCCCAAGCCCTTCCATTGAATTTGCTTTAAATTTAAATTCCTAGAGCTCATTCTTTAGAAAAAGATTTGCTCTTTTGTCTAAAATGATGTCCTTGACGAAACCCTCTTTGCTGTACAGACGCAAATGTGCACAGCTTTGACAACTTTGAACGTCATTTTCTCAAAACTTAAAAGCTTAAAAACTTGACATCCCCTATCTATGCATATATGGCTTTATATACTGTCTGTTGGTGAAGATAAGAACTACAATTGCATCATATTTTTGACAGATGGCGGACACATCTATGAATGAGAGAGGGCCGTAAAGCGCCTCAGACTGCCATGTTTTGCCAATATGATTTTCCTAACTTGGTTTGTGGGATGTACATGGCGAATCTTCATCTAGCGCCTATTGAAGGAGTGAAGAACCTGAAAAAATACTCTGATCACTTACTTCATATTAGCAGATAAAGCAAGCCGTATGTTCATAGCTCTTGCCCAAATTGAGTCGACATTCTTGGCAAAGATAATCGATGAATTCTGAATCACCATCGCAGTTTCAGCAAAATTCATTTTTTTCACTGCTGAGGAGTTATTGTAGAGATTTCTAATATTCCTCATGTATGCCTCCAGGTACTGAAAAATGTACTTGACAGGTAAGCGAAATAAGTAAGTATATATCATTTTTTCTCAGCTTTGTCATACCTAAATACATTTTGCTTCTCTTGCAGGCTTTTAAGGTGCACCTCATAAGTGCCTTGATAAGCTTTTCCCTTATTCTGTAAAGCTTTTTTTCATCAAATTGTGGAAGACTGCAATAAATTTAAATATTCAGTCACCAACACACCAACCACATTCTTATGGAACCATGTGGTAGAAAATGGAACACTGGACCACTCTTCTGAGGTGTCTTCAAAAATTAACATGTAAAATTGTGCAGCTACGTTGCGAATTCAAGAGATGGTGAGTTCCAGAAAAAATAAGTCACCATGAAGGCTTTTTTCTGAAATCTGACACCGAATTTTAACTTAATACCTTGTAAAATTTCTTTGCTTTAGTTTATCAAACATTATAAGGCAAAAATCTGGAAAACAAGACAGACATCAATTCTGCATGAATGAAAGCTGGGCACTTTTTTTCAACCTCACTCTTGCAATTAGCAGAATATTCCACACAAGTTTCATTAAGTCATAAATTTGGCTTGCCCCGCTTCAAAAAAAAAAGAGGGAGAAAAAAAATAGGAGCAAAAATTTTGAAACACTGCGATGGAGATACATGATTTCTCACTTTAGTGTACAGCTTCAACATAACTTTGTTCACACTTTTAACTAAATTCTTTTTCCATAAAAACACAATGTTCTCATATCAAGTTCTACCAAGTTGATTGCAGAATGTTGGTGAAAAACCGATGGACTAAAAAGTTAAGGGACATCTTCCCTTTATATACGACGCATCACTGTGCATAATTTTAGTCATTATTACATTATTTCTTGAGCCTGCAAAATTTTAGGAGAGATCTTTGACAGGTTTTGAACTAAAATATAAGGAGAAGAACAGAAAAAATATGAGCTATTTTACCTAAAAAAGTATTCCAGTTCTCATTGATTAACAAAATGATTTTACTTGATGAAAAATATTTAAAACTCATACCTGAGACAAATCTATGGAGGCCAGTTTGGATAAATTGGTTGCTTTGAAGAGCAACTCATGCTCAGAGATACCCAGTGGCTCTGGCGCCATTTTGATATGTTTTTACATACATATCAAGCCGCTACCTCAGCGCACTAGAGCGCTCTGCGACTCCAAATCGCCAAACTTTGATATGTTTTTAAATCTGTAAAAATGAGGCATCTACATTAGGAAGAAGACAACAAAATTCTTTGGGCTTCTTTTTTTCAAGTACCTGCAATATGATGAGCAGGTTTTTAATTGTTGCAAAAGCAACCTTCCAAAAATAATACCACTCACTAAGAGACTACACGATTTTTTGCTGACTACTTTTACTTGTGTAAACAGTCTGTAGCAGATCATTTAGCCAGTCGTAAAGTGCAGAGGGTGATACAGTAAGATTACCGCTGAAGTTGTTACCTCAAACAGGAGTTTAACTCCTCTCAAATAAAGTTTACAAAGATACAAAGTATATGGCAAAATGCTTTAGTTCTTGTTGAATTAATTTTAGGTCTCTACATACCCACTCTGATCAATTTAAAACGGAGAGTACACTGTAAACCAAGAATGAAGATTCTTGAGTGTTGCACGATTCAATACCAGAGGGGGTTGACGGTGCAGAGTAGATGAAATTGGTCAAATAACTTTCAGCCTTCAAGAGGTAGTACAATCTTGTGTAAAACTATCAGAAGTAATACTGCTAACTTGAGGTAGAGGTGTCATCAGCTAGGTTGGCACTTGAATACATAACATACACAAGCAGCTATAATGTAGGCATCCAACAGTAATCAAGGATTGACTAAGCTCACGATCAGGCTGCCGTCAATCCCCTATAGTGACCTTATTAGTGGCACGTCACAATAAAGCGATAAATACATCGATTTATTCACATTAAGTAGTAGCAATGAAAGAGCATTACGCCAATGTTATTGTATGGATCCAATTCGATATAATAGAGAATCGCTATGATGATGTCACCACTAATATCGTCTATTGCTTGCAAGTGGAATGTAAACAAGTGCCAACTTAGCTGACGACACCTCCAGATAGCAGAGTAAACAGGTAATTGCGAAAAATTTAGACTTGAAACAATGGAAATATAACATAGGAGTGGAAGAATGGGCTAGTCCTGCTGGTCTCAGACTCAAGTTATGATACTTCATCCTCGCAGATCAACTAAAAATGATAAGATCTAGCCAAACAGCAAATTTCTACGTTGAATACTAACCAAGGTATCTCGCCTATAAAAACTTGATTTATGATGTCTTCCACCACGGTAGGACGTATCATGTTACGCACTACCGCAGTGGATGACATCATAAATCAAGTTCGTCAAGGTGAGATATCTCCGTTAATATTCAAGGTAGAGAGTTGCTGTTGAGACAGATCTTCATATTTAGAGCTGATCTACTAGAACCAAGCATCAAAACATGATTTTGTTACCAGTGCAACTGGCCCATTGAATAAAGAAAGAGAAATGATCAGGTGAAACAGAGGCTAAGCTATCGGTTCGCAGGGAAGAGAAGAGATTGTCTAGGTGAGCTTTCAAAATTATGAATTTGGCCTCATTGTCACAGCAAGACTACATGCAGACAAACTAACTCTTTCCTTCACAGATTAAACGACATGAAAGTGAAAGAAGGAGAGAGTTACAGGACATTTGGGGAATGAGGAAGTTACAATTCTTGAGGAGGAAATTTAGGCCGAAAATACCTGGCAATGGAGTCCGAACTAGGATGATCTT